AGATGAGAGGTGATTTCTTGATCCCTTAAGAATTTACAAGAAGTTATTGAACTTGTGAAGCTTTTTGATTCAAAGATGAACATACTCTCTATGTTATCAAAACTGAAGGCCTTAATGTAGACACCTAAGGTGATAGGAAGGAGTCAATCATCAAGTTCAGGTATAAAGAGGCTACCTCCACTCTTACCTAACCCTGCTACAAAATCGATGACTAATATAGAGAGGATGAGCTTCGTAAAGATGATAGTTCAATGAGAAAAGGGATTATGTTATACTTGCAATGTCAAGTTCTCTTTTGGTCATTGTTACCTTAATAAGCAATACATGTTGATTGAATGTGAAGAAGATACACTAGAAGAAAACTCGAGAGGACAAGAACATAGGGTAAGGACAGTGATGTTGAAGGTTTGACTATACACCATTTGTCTGTGCAAGCTTATTAAGGAAAACCATGCAAGGCTACTATTAGATTTGAATGAAGCATTAATGACACCAAGGTACAAATATTGTTAGATAGTGGAAGCTCTAATAGCTTTATTCATCTACGCAATGCTTAACATCTTAGACTGCCTATAGAACCAACTAAAAATATACCTGTTATGGCATAGATACAGGGCATACTATCACATTTCCTACTTTTGTTTTATCTATGGATGGTTTAAATTTTGTGATTAGAGCCTCATGGCTAGCTACTCTGGTTCCACATGTTGCTAACTACACAGTGGAACAATTCTACATTAAGTTCTTCAATAATGAAGCCTTTATAACAATAGTAGGAAAGAAAAGCTCCCCTATTGCTCAAGCAGAGTTCCATCATTTTTAGAGACTAATAGATACAAATGCAGTTGTCAAGTACTACCTTCTACAAGTAGAACAGAAAATTGAATTTAAAGATAAAGGGATGAAAGATGAAGTAAATATTCTTGATGACATGAAAAATTTATTGTGGAAATATCAACATATTTTTGAGAAACCATATAGGTTGCCTCCTAAGAGGGATCATGACTGCATCATCTTAGCAGAAGGAGCTGGCTCGGTAAAAGTGTGACCTTATAGGTACTATTTTAACCAAAAAAACTAAAAATTGAAAAGATGTTCACATAATTATTGTTTAAGGGGCTGATACAACCAAGCAAGAGTCCATTTTTCGCCCCAATGATTTTAATAAAGAAGAAAGATGGTTTTTGTGAATATTATCGAGCTTTGAATATTGTAACAATAAAGGATTCATTCCCTATGCCTATTATAGATGAATTTTTAGATGAATTAAGAGGCTCTAAATATTATTCCAAACTAGATTTGCGTTCAAGGTATCATCAAATACTCATAAATAAGGCTGACCGAGAGAATACTGCCTTCTGCACTCACCAAGGGTTATACGAATGGCTTATGATGCCTTTCGAGTTATTAAATGCCCTTGCAACAATCCAAACACTAATAAACACAGTATTTCAACCTTTTTTATGTAAGTTTGTTCTTTACTTTCTTTGATGACATTGCAACATGGCCCCAACATTTAAAACATGTGGAACAGGTGCTAGAGATAATGAACATGCACAAGTTATTTTTCAAAATGACTAAATTCTCTTTTGCAAAAAATAAGGTGGAATATTTAGGTCATATCATTTTGGCTAGTAGTGTGGAAATGGATCCAACAAAGATACAAGCTATTCAATAATAGACAATCCCTCAAAATGTCTCACCCCTTCATGGATTTTTAAGGCTATCTAGATATTATTGGTGCTTTATTAAGCAATATTTCTAAATTACAAGACCCTTGATTCATCTATTATAAAAAGATGCATTTAACTAGTCTAGTGAGGCACATATTGCACTTGAGAAGCTTAAATTATCTTTAATTGAAGCCCCAGCATCAACTTTACCATATTTCACCAAGAATTTTATGCGAGAGATAGATGCTTCAAGACATGGAATAGGTGTTGTTTTAAGTCAAGGGGGCATCCTATTGCTTATTTTTCTAAGAAAATTTCAGTAAGAATGCAAGCTTAGTTTGCTTATGTTTGAGAGCTCTATGCTATCATTTAAGCAATGATAAAATTTCAACATTATTTATTTGGTGTCCACTTTATGATTCGAATCGATCATGAGAGCTTTAAGCATTTACATAATCACGTCATTTAAACCCCTGAGCAGGCAGCCTACTTACCAAAATTGATAGGGTATTATTTCTCTATCTAATACAAAATGAGGAAGACAAATTTGGCTATTGACTCATTATCCAGAAGATCTTATATGGGGTTAATTCATATTCAATCTACTCTAGTTGATGACATTTGTAGAGCAGCTCGACTTTCTCTTATGATTCAACAAGTTTCGCAATGGGAACAAGATCCTACTTTGATGCCTAAATATGCAGTGCGAGATTCCTTACTGTATTGGAAGGGAAGATTGGTTGTGCTTTTAAATTAACCTAAGTTGATTGAACATAATTAATAGAATACTACGCATCAGTGGTTATAGGTCAAGTAGGCATTTTGAGAACATTCAAGTGCTTTGTTGCTTAATTTTTTTGGCTTAAGATGCACAAGGCTATGTAGAAATTTATCAGTTAATGTCTTGTTTGCGAATAGACTAAACACATTCAGATATCACCTGTTAGTTTGTTATCTCCTTTAGCTATACCTGCTAGGATTTAGGATGATATTGCTATGGATTTTATCACATCATTGCCACCATGTGTGGTTATTCTGTTAAATTTATTGTTATTGATCATCTATTTACGTATGCATACTTTACGCCATTAAGAGCAACTTATATGAGTTAGAATGTAGCTGAAGTTTTTATTTGGAACGTAATTAAGTTACATGGTTTCCCTCAAACCATTGTTTATAATCATGATAAGATTTTTGTAAGCTCTTTTTGGCATCTGTTGTTTAAGCTTCATGGATCAGACCTTTAAGTGAGTTCTTCATGCCATCCATAAACTGATAGTCAGTCAAAAGCTTTGAATAAATGTCTTAAGATGTACCTTCGGTGCTTTGTTTTTTTATTGTCCTAAACAGTGATTGGATTACCTTCCTTGGGCAGAATTGTCTTATAATACTACTTAGCACATAACTATCGATATGACCCCTCTACGACAGTGTATAGGAGAGATCCACCAACATTGCTTCTTGTTAATTCTACTGATGATTTACCTATTGATTTATATCAACAGCTGCAATTAAGGGACTAGATTCTAGACAAAGTCAACTAATTTATTGAAGGCTCAGACTAGAATGAAGAAACATGCTTATCAGAAGCTTTCAGAAGTGCACTTTGATGTGGGAGATTTAGTTTTTGTAAAGCTGCAATCATATAGGTAGCATTCAACGGCCCTTAGGAAACTCCATAAGCTTGCTTTGAAGTATTTTGGGCCATTTCCAATAGCCCATAAATTGGTTTTGTATCGACTCAAATTACTAGCAAACACTAAAGTACATCCTATTTTTCCTGTCTCTCTACTCAAGAAATATGAAGGCACGACAATCACTCCTTATATTCCTCTACCTTTATTATCTGATCTAGAGGGTCCTTTAGTATAGCCACAGGAATTCTTGATGCTCGAACTACTAAACATTAGTCTCAATGAATCAAAGAAGTACTAATTCATTGGGATGGCATAGATATTCTTACTTGGGAATATTTATTTGATATGTAGCAATTTTTCCTCACTTTTGACCTAGGGGACAATGTCCAACTCTTACAGGGGGTATTGTAATGATGAATGAGGAGTCAGAGGGATTAATTAACCATGAGGTGGACGGACACGTCATACCAAGGGACACATTAGAGAGAACCCCAAAGAAAGAGAAATAGTGAACGAGCACACGAGGAAGGCATGCAATGTAGAAGATGAGAGAATAGTGAGGGTATATATATGTTCTGGCATTGTTGTGAGGCATGCATATTGTGATCAATACATTCTCTCTCTGGTATCTCTCTCTTTCTCTCTATACCACTCATGTTGTTTCCTTCTTTTTCTGCCATTTCTGTTATACTAATTTAAAGAGAAGGATATTCTATTTTGGATATTTTTGTTGATTGTAAGCTTTCTACGATTGTTGATTGAATAAATATATCCAAATATTTACTCCATTTGCTATTTGCATTTGAGATCATAACCCGTTCGTGCAACAATTAAAAAATAGTAAAATTGTTATTAGTTTGATATTTAATTAAATTTGTTGGAAGCAAGTTTGGACAGAGGCTTGAGGCGCTTGTGTTGGTTGATTAATTTTATCTAAATATATTATGGAACAGATAAAAGGAATGAAGACCAAAGTTTCATTTTCAGCCACCAAAAATGCTGAAGTTGAGTGAGTACTGACGTGGACACAAGCACCTTGTTCGCATGTGCTCGCTTTTCCTTTTTATTCTTTAATCTTCTTTGTCATCGCACACCATTTACTTGATTAATGCGCTTGAATTAATTTCTTGCCAGTTTACACAAATTATTTTTTTCATTACTGGGTGTAAAACAAAAAAAAAAACAATTAATTGACAAAGAGAATGTAATTCCATTTTAATGCTAGATCTAAACCATGAAATGAAAGTTCTTAGACGATTTAGACTTTCTTATTTTTTTAAATTTAATTTTAATAATATTTTTATCCTAAATGATATAGAATGCAAGTGTAAATTGATAGTAATTTTAATAATAAGATATTCGCATTATTTTTTGGGATCTGAGATATTGACATTTCTAATTTTTATGTTTTTCATCGAATAAATTTATATTTGTGGGCAAATGTGAAGTGAGACCTAGAAAGCTGTGAATAGCTTGGCAGTGGCATGAAGCACAGCCACATTGGACGAAGCCAAATAAGCATCCCACCTTCTTGTCCTTTTCTTTCTCCAACCGCCGACGCTTCTCGCTTCTCTGATTTCTCTCTCCCGTGCGGCCACCCAGCATGTCTCCCAATAATTACTTCCTTTCACGACACGACACGTGTCTTTATCAACACGTTGGGTCTTCCAATTGGTTTCAAATGTTGAGACACAGTACAGGTTCAACCAGCGGATAGAACCTTTTTCCGAAGAAAAAGAGCAATGGTTGCATACAGTGCCCGCACAAGAAATTCTGGAGGCATCTTTCTCTCTCTTCCTTCTGTGCTTTACCCTACCGCAGAAGAGAGAGAAAGAAGCGATCGTCAAGTTTTCTATCTACCTGTAGTTTTGTTCGCTTAATACGAGTTTAATTGTGGAAGCTGGGTTGGTTTTCCTCGGATTGGAATTCGTTCGAGTTTAAGTTCTAATTCGTTGCTGCTTTCGGTTTTTATGAAGATGCTGGTGGCTAACAGTTTTGAACTATGGCAAAAGGACGCTTTCTTTTCAGCGGCTGAGGAGGTGCAGGAATCAGCTGATACGTATGCTTCCTTTCTTAATTTGCTGATCCCCGGCTTACGGTTCTTTGTATGATCTTTTTTATTTTGTTGCCTGTAATTAACTGTATGATTCGTAAAACTGCTTCTCCGGGCTTTAGGTATTATGGGTTTTGCTACGCCTAAATTTGGCATGAATTCCGATTTAGTAACTACTTTATTTTTAATTAGAGGAAATTTCGGGATATCTTTTTCTTTTACATCTTATGTTGGACGAAAGTATAGAAACAACGGAGAGAGTAATAAGATGTGTGGAATAGGCGTACAGTTTTTGCATCAAATAATTTGGGATCAGATGAGATAACTAATTCGCTTTGTCTGGGGGTGATCTTAAGCTATTTATACCCAGCATACTATGCCTTACTAATTTAGGATTTACTTCAGTTGGTATTGGAGCTTTGGAGGGAATTATTATGCTGTCCTGAAAAAGTTCATTTCTGTTTATCTTGATTTCTCGTTTCCCAGAATGGAATCTGTATACAGGGCTTGGATAAGAGAGAGGAGAGAAAGGTCAACTCCCGAGGTATTGGATGAACTACGCAGGGAGCTGCAAACTGCTTTAGGTACTGCTAAATGGCAGGTAAGTTAATATTGCCCTTATATTTACTTAAATTCCCTGTTTCTCTTTACCTATCATAGACATTTAGCACTCAAACTACAATGTTGTTTTGTTTTATAGATTCCCTCACATCACCAAAATGTTCATTTTGTTAATTTTCTGCTTTGACCATGCTGAAATAGTTGGAGGAATTTGAGAAAGCTGTCAGGCTAAGCTACAGACATCTTGGTGATGACAATACAAACACTAGGCATAAGCAATTTATTTCTGCCATTGAAAACCAAATTTCCCATGTTGAAGCAGCTTTGAGGGAATCTTATATTGAGGAAGGTAGGCAACCTCTTGGCTGGGTTAACCTGGATGATGAAGAGCGAGATGATCTAGCAGCATTTCTATCCGGAACCTCTCAGACTCTAAGAAGTGCTAAGGATGAAAGCTTAGAACTTACGCATTCCTTGAAACTCAAAGAAAAGCAGGTCAACAGAAAAGATAATAAATATAATGTTAATGATGACTGCATTGGGATTATATCTGCTGATCATACAGATTCCAAGGAAGAAAATTATATAATAGACATAAAAGCAGATGCAGTTTCTGGAAGTACTGAAGATGTAGTTTCTCAAGCAGATAGAACCCCTTGCTCCTCAAGGAAAACATGGAGTTTATCTAATTATGGGGCTTTAAAAGTTGTAATTCCTGATGAAGATGAACAGAGAAATGAATTCAGGCAGACTGTTGATGCCACCCCTAAAGAAAAAGGATCCAAACCCATATTTTGGAGACAAAAATGGGAAGAATATCCTCGTTCCATTCGAACAGTTCATATGTTCAATCAGGTTAGTGAATGAATTTTTAAGATGTACATGCAAAATAAAACAGCAGAAGTGATCAATATCAATTCTTCTTTGCTTTTAATTATCATTTAATAAAGATATATCCCAATACTTAATATTTTGTGGGGCTGCATTCCAATGAGAAGTTAATAAATTTTTAATATTATGCAGGTGTTGGGTCATACTGGTTGGTTCCTGAGACAATTTCCAAGCCCCCTACACTTACGACATAGTTGTTCAGTTCAAGTTAAACTTGCTCTGATGCTGACCATTTTTCTCATCGGTAAGCTTCGAATTTGGATTACCTGCTCTAATAACTAAGGACTCTGTTGATATTGAACTGTGTTTAATTTATGTTTATCTCATTAATTTTCTCATGCCCTTGTGGCCAGTATAGAATTAAAAAGTGGAACATAACTTCATTGTCTTTTGCTTTCTAAATATTGCCTAGAAGATTTTGACACTTGCTACAATCTTTGATGATTTGGTTAACAATTACTAGTTTTCTTAGAAGCATCAGTTGAGGATTTTATAGTATTGTCTTTTTCTTTTCATGTGCATACTCTTAATATTAAATAAAGGAAGCCATGAGAATATTTGATATTAAAGAAATTCCATTTTCTTGAGAAAGGTTACTCTTAATATTTGTTTTATTAAGGTGATAACTTTTATGGCTAGATTTTGCACTTACAAAATTCTGTGCGGGTGCGTTTATGTGGAGGAATCAGTTAACGTTGGTGTCAATCAAAATTAGTCTTGCACCCTGGGATATTTTTTTTATAGGATAAACTTTTATAAAGTTCACTGTCAGATAAAAATTTTTAATCATGAATGTAATCCTTACAAAATTCAGTAATCATCCAAAGTTATTTGATGTCCTATCAATATATCCCAAAAAATGATGTACAGTATACTTTTTTAACACAACGAAAAATTAACTATTTGACTGTCTACTTGTAGTTTTATTCTTTTTTTTTTTTTTTATGAAATTTGACACGTATCAATATGGTGATTATTAATCTAACTGATGGATCAATGAAGACCAATTCTTATAATAAGACATTGATGGGGTTAAAGAGTGAGAAATCTTACAGTGGGATCAATTGATCCCTCCCCTATATATATATATATATATATCTACCCCTACCTACCGGCGGACCTACCTAGATTTCTGAGATTTCACTCTTGCTTTGCTTTTATTTTACTTCATTTGATTCATTTTTGGAAGCAGTTACTTGGAACTCCATTTTGAAGTGACTCTTTCACTTAGAACATGTTGGGTAGGGGAGGTGAACCTTTCTATTCTTAGGTTTTTCAATGAGAAATAGGAGTGAGAAGGGGTAAAGCGCTGAGCATGTTTGTGTTTTTTTCAACATAAACAGTGGATAGAATACTCGATTTATATCCTCCGTAATTTCAGTTTGAAGAAATTCAATCTTTTGGACTGGTTTAGACCCCAACTATCCCACCTCAATCACTTCATCTATCTAAAGAACTACGAACTTGTCTCGTTCATTGCAGGGCATGTTTCTGTGCTTTTCATGGGGAGACATAATTGTGACCAAATAAATTATGGGATCCGCAAGTTTCAAAGTTTAAAAAGAAGGGGGATTCAAATGTTATGCCACAAAATCAATTTGTAGCCTCATGCAAGACAGATCTCAAATCATACTATTGTTTACAAGCGAAATACATCACATTGACTTTCTATACAATTAAGATATTTTATAGTTATAATATAGATTTATATTATCATTCTCCATTCTCTTTCCGCTCGATCAATCCAAGCATGAAAGTCTCAAGAATGTCTTTGCCTGCCTGTTTGATTGCATAGAACAGGGTAAAGGTTCAATTTGCTGAAGTAATTCTATTTTGTTCTATTCTTCCAATTATGTTTTTATAATTCTTTATGTTATAGATTACCATGTGCAATCTATAATTCTGAATTGAAAGATTTCAGAAGCGTCAGTCCCAATTACTGCGTTTTGAATGTATCCCTTGCTTATTTTGCAGTTCCCTTTGTACTTTATTCCACTTGAATTTAGATGCTTCTTTACTCAACCAGATCATGAGGTATTTCAACAGCCATGGAACTGTGTATTTATTCTTTTTACGAACAAACATTAGGGCCTGAATCTGGCAAAAGCTTATTTGTGATGCAAGTTACAAATGAACTTGTTGGATAAGATGGCATTCCCCTTCAGCTATTAGGTGGCTGATTGTTAAGCATGACCTTTTTCTTTTATATGAAGTGACTGATGGATTTTTCGACAAGCACGAGCAGATTTCCAAGCGACTTTTAGACATCAGAAATAATTAATTGCCTCATCATCTGTGTTTGGGATTATTTGAATTAATGCTGATTGTGATTTACTTGTTAAGCAAGACCTTTTCCTTTATTTAGAAGGCACTAGTGGATTTTTCAACGAGCAAGAGATTACCTAAGCGATTTTTAGGCTGAAAGACAGACACCAGAAATAATTAATTGCCCCATCATCTGTATTTGATGCTTCTGATATCTAAATCAAGAGATTACCTTCCATTAGAAGCCCTTATATTAATTTTTTACTTTTGCAGTGCTTATCTTGGTTCTGTGACTGATAGAATCGAGGTCATTGGCCAAATGTTTATCTGAATACATTGGCGCTATCCTTTCAAGTGGAAAAGTAGGAAAAGAGCCGATGAAGAAGATAGTTTCTAAAGATTAAAGAGGTTTCTTTAGTAATAGGATTGAACTAGGAACAAGAACGGGTTTCGTTTGTTTCCTGGGGCCACGAAATGTAAATGCTTCCATTTATCATTTAATGTAAGTTTTACTATATTCAGTAGTGAGATAATTGTTTGGATGCAACTTTTTTTCTTTTAAATTACACGTGCCTTTACTGTAAGTTTGAAGTCTATCAGACAGCAGCAAAATTCTTTTGGGTATCAAGGCGAGAAGTGAATGCCACTGAATTTTCATTTTATGATTCTGAGAACAAGCTGCGAAGGAGAAGGCGGTGTGGACGAAAATTAAATTACATCAAGGTATAAGCTCAGTTAATTTCTGATAGGAAAATACCTGCGGCAACTGCAACCAAGATTAAGAATGTGGAATTGTGGATTGGGACGAACGTTAATCCGATGGAAGTAAAAATAGCATATTAATATTATAGGCATGAAAAAACTCCGAATTTTTTTTTTTTGGGGGGGGGGGGTGGTGTTTAGTTTGGCAGTGGCAGTGAGGATTAAAGTCAAAACATACGATGATATTACAGAATCATGGAAACTTCTTACAACTACAAGAAGCGATTGTTCATCAACTAAACAAGCTTATATCACACATGTTATGATAAATAAGAACATAATAACTCGAACATCAGCCCCGAAATTCAAAATGGACAGTCACCCAATAAAATGTGTCACAACGTCTCTCGCTCTATTCTTCAAGTATTTATGTACCTTACATCTCTACCCCGAAAACACCTTCTCTTGTGATAACGAATTCGCAGGAGGATTCAGGCAGATGTGGAGCAAATACAACACTGAGCCTCCTCCTCGATTTGCTCTGTTGATAAGCCCCACCTTCTTCCTCATCAGCCAAGCTGCTTCCTCCTACCACTACCTCCTCATTCCTCGACATGAACAGCCTCGAGTTCACGCAGTTAGCCCACGCAATCCCTAACGCAGCACAAACCCTCCTCCCCGATGAACTCAAACTACTCAAATTCCCAACCCTAATCCCATTCACACCCTCTGCAGCTCCACTAATCAAATCAACCACCTGGTTTGTCAACACCACCGCCAATCCAAATCTAATCGCCAATGACTTCAGATTCCCAGAAATCTTGAAAAATAGCGACGACCTGCGCTTCAGATCGAAACCTGTGTTCTCGAATTCGGATCGAAACAGAGCAGCAATGGAATCAATCACTATGAGCCTAACAGGAAACTGCGATTTTGACTTCACCTGGAGGAATAACTCTATCTTGGGCATTATATCGAGCATCTCATCCGCACAATAAACACCCTGCACAAACACTTTGTCACAAGGATCGTAGCTGTTGGAAGATGTGAAAATATCCGAGTGTGAGGATACGAAAGAGGTGGATAGCTGTCGAAGACGACGAAAGGGGAAAGGGAATTCGGTGTGGATGTATAGGGATGAAGCTGATAAGCCGCCATGAGAGGGTGGTAATTGAGCAGAGAGGACGAGTTGGAGACAAAATTGGGTCTTCCCGCAACCGCTTTCAGCCACTAGTTCCGTCAAGGAGTTGCAGGAGATGCCGCCGGCAAGCAAACGATCCAGTACGGGACAACCGACGGTGCACTTTTCCGTTCGAAGCTGCAATAGACTTTCTGGAGTCATTTCTCCCACTCCTGTCTCTCTTCTTGGGCGAAGAGTAGACGAAGAGGAATTTGGGAGGGAAAAGATCCGGAGGAACACGAAGCGTGCCATGTCAGCCTTAAGTCCAGTCATCATCCCAGTCAATGAACACGTGGCACGCCAGCCAGCCCGTCGTTCCGATCATCATACAGTTACCCTCCGCATGGCTTGCCAGGTTAACCCACGATCCCAGTTATCATCCCAGTCAACGGCCAGTCGGAAAGCCATGTCATCCAAGAGGTCCAGTCATCATCAGAGTGGAAGGCCACGGCGAAATCCACGTCATCCATAGTCACAGTCATCATCAGAGTCATGGTTTACGTGGTAGGCCATGTCAACATCTTGTCCAAGTAACGTTTCCGCTAACAAACACGTGGCATGCCTTGTCATCATCCCAGTCACCGCACCACGTGGAACGCATTGTCAGCCCTTAGTCCAGTCATCAGCCTAGTCAACGATTGCATATCATGCCATGTCAGCCCTTAGAACGGTCATCATCCAAGTCACCACACACGTGGTATGCCATGTCGGAAGTTTGTCTTAGTCATCATATCAATTTCTGGACACGTGGCTTGCATTGTCAGCCCTTAGTCCAGTGAACGTCCCGGTCAATGGACACGTGTCTGAATCCATCCTTATTGGGTTAAGCGTGGTTAAATGGGCCTACGATTGGCCCAATGGTGAGATCCATGGGAGGGGGACCATTACTTGTTTTGAGATGTCTTTTAATGAACCTTTGGGAGTTGAACTATATAATTTTTAATTTATTTCGATTAATAATTTTATTTTGACCTTTTCAATTTATTTTTAATTTATTTTAATTAATATATTTTAAAAAAATAGTAATGCTATTTCCTTATGAAAAAAAATTGAAGTTATATTTACGGACCATAATAAAAAGGTTAAAATTAGGAAACAAATATGGAAATTAAAAATTAGGAGATAAAAAAATATATTTTAACCTAAAATAAATAATTTTATGCTATTGCTTGAAGTCTTGTACTTCATCTATGGAAATTATAAAAAATAAATATATTTTTCAACCTGGGTTTCATGTTTTCTGGTTCACCTATTATTTGATAATCTTATATTTAAAACGTTCGCCCCTGATGATGATACTTATTAATAAGGATAATAAAAATTTTAGTACGAATTATCAATTCAGTTTTTCATGTTTAATATTTATAAACTCAGTCCTTAATGTGTAATACTTTCTATGATCTTATTTATAAGTAAAAAGGAAAAAATATTTTATTTATAAATCAAATCATTAAATTTTTATTAAAAATTTTCTTTTTATCTCCAATTAAATGTTGGAGAAAGAAATCATGTTATTAAAATATGTATATTTAAGGAAAAAATAATTTTTTAATCCTTTAACTTTTAACTTATTTGTAACTTAATCTTTCAATTATAACTCGCTGCGACTCAATCATTCAACTTTTGACATATTTATTACTTAATTTCTCAAATTTTGACTCATTTATGATTTAATTCCTCAAACTTTGGTAGTTTTCTTTTTTTATTATAAGCTTAAATCACACATCAAAAAGTAAAAGAAATATTTTAAAGTAAGATATAAGTATTTATTTTATCCCTTTTATTTAATAAAAATAATTTTTTAGTAAAATTTGAAAAATAAGGACCAAATTATAAATGAGTTAAAAATTAAAAAATTGAACTGCAGCGAGTCATAATTGAGAGATTGAGTTATATTAAATTATACTTGAATAATTGAGTTACAAATGAATTAAAAATTAAAGGATTAAAAGATTAACTTTTTCTATATTTAATAGTGGCAAAGTTCAAAAATTATTTAATTTTAAAATAAATTTAATAAATTTTAAAATTTCATTTGATTCTGATAAAATATATTAAAAATAGTTTATAAATAAAAGCATTTTCTACAGCTGATCTCGTTACTTTTTTCCTAAAATAAAGAATTGATATATATTAAAAAAGCCGTTAATAAAAAAAACAATCTATACACCCAATTTAACCCAATATATTATTTAACTTTTTGTTTATGTCAATGTCATGATCTTATGTCGGTTTCCAGAGCCACCACCTAATTCTTATAAAATTTAAAAAATAAAATAAAAGGGGCAGTAAGTGAAATATATTAATAATATTTTTTCTAAAGAAAATATTTTAGAGCAAGAGAATCCTGGAAGGGCATACCATTATCCCTCATGGATTGCCACTGTGCATCATCTTTCCTTCTACGCAATGTCACTATCAGATTCACTAGGATGACTAAAATGCCCCTACCATGCACTGCGATCGCCTTCATCGACGTCAAGCAAGGCCAAGAGGTTACTTCCGGCCAAATATGGGTGTGCAAATCACGTGACTTCGAATCATGTGGCCTGTGGCACGGCCATCGACGTCGTCACCGATACACTTCTCCGGTCCTTACAAGTTAGGGCTCTCAGAATCATCCACGAAAACTTTCCCGATCTCCGATTCTCCACCATCTTCCCTCCTCCATTAATCACCGCGGGGAACATCGTCGTTGACGGGTTTCGGCGAGCCTGCCGGTTTTTCATATCGCTGAGCTCCATCTCCGCCGGTGCCTTAACTGTCCCAAGCATCACGGAACACCAGCGCGGCTTCGACGTCGCTCTTTTAACCGTCGAAGAATTTCGCTCGGCTTCCGGAGCCATAAACACGACGGAGCTCGAAGACCGACGAAGCTTCCTGTAATCCAGGGACCTGCTGTTCTGCATCATCACGGAGCAGGGAGAATTCGCGAACGTCCCCACACTGTTGGATCGAGAGACATGGAATCGCACCCCGGAAATAGGGTCGGATCTTAAGCGTCGGGAGGGCGGCATATTGGATTCTGCAATGGGTTTGTAATCAACCGGAGGAGAATTGGAGAGAGGTCTGTGCTTGAAGGGTTCGAGCTCACCGCAGAAGATGATCTCGTCAGCGGGGCACATGTCGGAAACGGCGACGTCGTTGAAGAACTCAAACAAATCGGAAGCTTCAGAAAATGAGGAAGGACGAACTTCCACGGACGACATGTCGTTGAGTGGTAGGTCACACAGCGAGAGAGCCTCCTCTCGATCATCCTCTTGTTCTAGTTCTTGGGTTGCATATTGTGGATCTTCATGAGCCATGTTTTGTGAGAAAGAAGGATAAAGAGAAATGTATAATTGAGCGTTTAATTAATAATAAGCAAAGAATGGTTTGAATATATATATATATATACACACACACATATATATATAAACGAAGAAGAGAACAAAGGAGGGTGGTTTTAATTTTGGAGCATATAGATGTGGTGTCATGGGTTGGGATTGATTTGACGGTGGATTCGAAGGATTATAAGCAAACAAAATTAAAGATAGCGAAAGGCATATACATATATTGAGTGATCAAAATTGGGAAAACATTGAACTGTCCAAACGACACCTCCCAGAGGCTGATATTATTGTGGACAAATTCGAGTAAATAATTTACTAAGTTTCTAATGATTATGTGTGTGTCTGAACACATTATATACGATTAAAAATGGACATTACAAGTTTGGTAAAAAAAAAGATATTACAAGAAATCATATTGGAGAGATTAAGGGCTTATTTGAATAATTCTCAAAAGCATATTTAAACCACATTTGATATGTACTTTTGTTAAATTCAACAAATAATTGAATCCCAAATGAAATTTTGCTAAATATAAACTGAAAACCAAACATACATTGAGAAAGCAAATAATCCCTCTAATCCTATTAACCAAATCATCAGATTTAAAAAAGTGATTAAAATTAATTAAGAGTATTGATTATTTCAAAAATATTTGAATCAAATCCCAAATAATCTTTAATTAAAATTATTAAATTTACCTTTAAATTTTAAACTCAAACATGTCACCCAAATAACCAATTAAATGTGTAGGCATTTTTTGAAATAACTCATTAATGCGTTGTCAAGTTTTATAAAATGTCATGCATTAAAGACCAAACAAATATTTTAGAATTGTCTTATATAAAGACACAGGAAAACATATTAGATAAAAAAATGAAATAAATCAATTTTATACATACACTACGCTCAATTCTTGGTATGCTTTTTGCGTCTCTTCAGCACATTGAAAATCTTTTGAATTAATTTATTAATGAGTACATTTTATATGTTCATATATTTAAATTAAATTATTCAAAAATATCAATGTATGTTACTTTCTGGTGGGAAAAAACCAAAAGAGAGGCGCGTATCTGGAAAAGATAAATGATTACTTGATCAGGAAACGAGTATTTCTTACTCAAATAAAAAAAAACAAAAATTTAAACATAGACAAATTGAATCTTAAAATTCCATTAAAAAGGTTAAGGCATTTTCAACCAAATCTTACCTCCCAATAAAGTTGTTACTTATTTTCTAACTAACCATATCTTTTTATATTTGCCTCTATTAAATATCTTATAATAAATATAAAGTTATTATTAATTGGGATACTTTTTAAAAAAAAAGACAATGATTACGTCTCAATAAACTAAAAATACTTTATATTTTTTAATATTTAATTTTTTAAAAATATCTTATATTCTTTAACAGAAAAAATTATATTTTAAATAAGATGCGCTTGAATTAAAATCTCAGGGATGCTATTGACTTACGGTCAGGAGAGAGGCAAGCAGAAATGCAGCCGGCAGTGAGGTCCTATTGATCTTGTGTTGAAAAATAAAGCAATTAATTAAGGTGGACATTCCTTTTCTTTTTTTTGGGGTTGTTTTCAGTCAATTGCTTTTGATTTTTGAGGGAAGATTTTTTGTTCCATGTTTTTATAGAAGAGAACAAATGTGAGCATAACCCATGCCAGTTAACTTAAGTAATAAAAGTGAGATAAAGTATGATAATAATCAAAGGCTCATCAATCAAAAATAAAAGTGTGTAAATTGTGATGATAATACAAAATTTGATAAATGTATCGTAGTAATTCAGAACTCATAAATAATACTCCCTACATTTCAAATTATAAAATATTTTTGGAGAAGATTTGGCTTCTTAAAATATAAGACATTTTAAAAAATTAATATTTTATTAAATAGGCTTATTTTAATATTACCTTTTTCTCTCTCTATAATTAATTTTCATCCCTTCTCTTTTTAATATATTAAATGATAGGTATTTTTAAGATTTTATATTTTTATTTTGAAAAGAAAATATAGTTAAGTGTATTTAATGAGGTTTATCAGTATGTGAAATTTTTAAAAATGTTTTATAATTTGAGATGGAGAAAGTAAAAATTTTATGAATTGATACAATATATTGGATATTGATATTCATATAAAACATTGGTCTAAGAATTACTATTTAAATTTTAATCAACTTAAATCAAACAGATTTTTATTTCGTTTGGTCATCACTAGAAAGTATATCATGGTATACGCACCAACCATCTTGTGAATTTCAGGTAAAAAAAAACATCTTGTGATTTAAATTTAAACGAATGATTTAGTAGTTTCAAAACAAATATATTTTTTTTAGATTCATGATTTAAAAAATATTTCTGAAATTAATTGTCCTTTAAATTCAAAGTCAAACCACATTGCCAAATTTTGGTTCTTCAGGCTTTCTAACTAGAATAGTGTCAAATTGATTAAGCAAAAATAAAATTTTATGACCCTTGTACAAGTGCCATGAACTAGCATCTTCCGCACCAAAACATTACAATCATGTATAATACTTAAATTTATACTTTTCAAAAATAAAAAACAATAGGAAAAGAAAAATAAAAGAGATGAAATATTCTACCAAGACAGGGATGGTTCGCTTGCAGCTTGAAAGATAATGAATGAGGAAAATACCTGCGTGCATGCGTTGGCGGGTTGACTTTTCTCTATTTTTCATTCTCTTCACTTCCTCTATGTTTTTTATCTCAACCATTAATTTTTTTTAAATAATTGAGATTTAATATTTAATAAAATTAATTTTTATTTTTTTAATTATAATCTTAAATTTTGAATTATAATTCAGATAAAATTAATTATATCTTAAATTTATTTATTTATTTTTCATAAATTTCATGTTTAAATAATAATAAAAAATAAAATTAATTTTATTAAATATTAAATTTCAACTATTTAAAAATAAATTTAATAGTTGAAATGAGAAATAAAAAGTAGAGAGAAAGCCAACCCCGGTGGGGGGATGAAAATAACAAAACATATAATAATAGGAGAACACTATTGGCACCGAAATTCGAAAAACTATTACCATCGCAGTGTGCCTTGCACAACCCTTATAACTATGAACGGCCAACCCGAATCGCTTCTCTAATGCTCTCAAAAGCCCACAATGCTTCAAAGTCACGAAGAAGACGATTGCTCCAACATGGGTGCTTCGAGGCAAAAAAAAAAAAAATTATTAAATAAAAATTGAGGCTGAATTCAACAAAGGATGCTCCCCAGAAATTTCTTGAACAAAAAAATTTTGAATCCATTGATGCTAACGGAAATATTTAAATTTAATTCTATTCAAACCTAAAGTTGAAAATCCCCACCCATTGTTAATCTCAGACGCAGATTTGTTATTATCAATCACTACTAAATTATAAAAATTTAACTCCAACTGTTACGATTTTTTTTTTATTTTGACAAAAAGGAACTCCGACGGTTTTGATTGAAACCAAGGAAAAACCCAATTACATCGCGAAACAGCGGAGAGATAACGAATGCCAGACCATAACATTAAATTAATCATTCAAAAGAACATTGTTGAAATTGTTAAATTTCAACGAATACAATCTATCACTTGTTCATATAAACAATAATTGCACAGAGAAACAAATGCAAAACCCTAATTCATGAAATTTCCCAAATCCCTAATTCTCTAACCACCGAATCCGTAAAGAGTTCTGCCCTGCCTCTTCAAAGCGTACACAACATCCATGGCCGTCACTGTCTTGCGGCGAGCGTGCTCCGTGTAGGTGACGGCATCGCGAATCACGTTCTCGAGGAAGATCTTGAGAACGCCACGGGTTTCCTCGTAGATGAGACCGCTGATACGCTTCACTCCGCCACGACGGGCTAGACGGCGAATCGCCGGCTTGGTGATACCTTGAATGTTATCCCTCAGAACCTTACGATGACGCTTTGCTCCCCCCTTTCCGAGCCCCTTGCCTCCCTTTCCTCTCCCGGACATGTTTGATTCGATCACTCTCTCTCTTTCTCACTGTTCACCAGACGCTAGAAGCCTGAAAAGCAAATCTTCGGAAGAATATTGAATGACGAAAGGAGAGATGGGGGACCTTATATAAAGTACGAAGACGGGTTATGAATCGTAGGATTACGTTGCTATCCGTGTGTTGAGTTTGTTGGCTATCTTGACCGTTGGATCGGAAAAGCCTGATTTTCATTGGTGGAATTTTCGTGTGGAAGGATTCGAGGCTTTTAATTTTCTGTCTTTTTTGTGGGAAACGAGCAATTGCGGAATGCGGCCAAATTTGAAAGTTTCATAAGAAGTTTAATGAAAGCAAAGGCGCCAAACTCTCCAGTCATGTTACCGGCACCTAAACAAAATGTAACAAGCAACAACACAACACTGGACACTGGTTAAGAGCCTAAGGCTTCCATCAATGCCCCCAAAGTCTTTGATCCAGTTATATTTTTAAATTATTTTCACATATACTAAATAAATAATTAGACTTACGATAAATTTACTGCTCTTTTTTTTTTAAATTATAAAATATTTTTTAAAAAAATTGACGTCTCAAATATAAAATGTTTTGAAAAAATTAAGGTTTCATTAAATATACTTATTTTATTATTATTTTTTTCTCTATATAATTAATTTTCGTTTATTTTTTTAATATATAAAATGATAGGTATTTTTAAAAATTTATATTTTTATTTTATAAAAATAAAGTTGTTGAATGTATTTAATAAGATTTATTGATATATAAAATTTTATCTAAATATATCTTATAATTTGGGATGGAAGAAGTATTTTATTTTAATAATAATAATAATAATAATAACAACAACAACAACAATAACAACAACGAAAAACATAACTTGGGTCCATACATTTTACTCAAATTTTGTTATAAATTTCTATATTTTTTTTATATTTTAGGTTTTATACTTTTATTTTTTAGTATTCTATAAAAGAAATATAATATATTAGAAATGTTAAAAAAAGTAAAAAAAAATTAAAATAATATAAAATTTAACATGTTAAATAATAAAAATAAAAAATATGTAGTCTAACATTAGGAAAAAAAAATAAAACATAATAAGCGTAGTCTGTTCTTTTCAATGTATTTTAAAATTATTAATTTGTTTTTATACTATTTATAAACATTTTTAATATAAATAGAATAAAAAAATTCTTTTCTTACTTTATAAATATGATCAGAAAAAGTATTACTCTCTCTCCTAATTTTATAAATTTCGAATTATTAAGTATCTGAGTACTTAAATTATTGTTGTTAAAATGTAAAAACTCAATTTAACTTGTATTTACAAGTTAAAGTTCAACTGTTTTTTGATAAAATATTTGTATTTTCACAGCATAATATCATATGCAAAATTAAAAAAATTTTATTATAATAATTTTCTTTTTAGGTGAATGTAATTCTCCCTAAGTAATAATGTTTTTAACTATTCATATTATAAAATGTTCATATATAAATTTTAAAATTTTAAAAATAAAAAATATCATAATTAAAATAAAATGAAAAAGAAGTTAAAATATTTCATTCTATTAATTAATGTTTAAATATTTAGTTTTTTAAAACGTTAATTGGGCAACTCTCTTCGATAACACAACCCAGTTTCCCACTTTTCTCTAATGTACTGACCACAACCACCAGATTCAAAACTACGAAATCTGAGGGGATTTCATCTTATTAGGATCCAATTGGACTTTACCTTTTGATCCTTTCAAGCGCAAACATCCAATTATCCAACGAAGCTACGTCAACAATCCCCGCCAATTGCTAATTACGCAAACACAATAAACGATAAGAGCTCAATTCTCTGATTTTCAAATTCAATCCGAAGAAGAAATGAATCTATTCAGGTAACGACGATCAATTCAAGAATGCAAGGGTGTGGCATTAAAATTTAATCATACAATCAAGGAAGATTGTTATATTTCAGCCAGCCGAATTATCACTTTTTCATATCAACAATAGTTGCACAAGAAAGCAATTGCAAAACCCTAATTCGTGAAATTCCCCAAATCCCTAAATCTCTAACCACCAAAGCCGTATAGAGTCCTGCCCTGCCTCTTCAAGGCGTACACAACATCCATAGCCGTCACGGTCTTGCGGCGAGCGTGCTCCGTGTAGGTGACAGCGTCGCGAATCACGTTCTCAAGGAAGATCTTGAGCACCCCACGGGTTTCCTCGTAGATTAGACCGCTAATACGCTTCACGCCGCCACGCCGGGCGAGACGGCGAATCGCTGGCTTGGTGATACCTTGAATGTTATCCCTCAAAACCTTGCGATGACGCTTAGCTCCTCCCTTTCCGAGTCCCTTGCCTCCCTTTCCTCTTCCAGACATGGTTAAACTTTCTTGCTTCTTCTTCCTCCTCTCTCTCTCTCTCTCTCGGACGCTGAGGCCGAGGTCTTGGATCGAACTGATAGGGTGAATGTAGATATCTGAGGCCTTATATAAAACACGAAGATATACTATGGATCGTTGGATGAGCTGGCTATCCGTGCGTCGAGTACGGTGGATAGCGACACCGTTGGATTTGGAATCCACGATTTTTATTGGTGGAATGCAGGTGGGGCAAGATCGGAGGCTTTATGTTTTCGGAGCTATTTTGGTGGGAAATGTCAAATATGCGAGAGTGCGGGGAAATTTTTCCAGGACCGCCGTTTGTTTCCTGAAACAATTAAAAGGCGCTTACTATGAAATTTTTTAGTTTTTTATCCGTTTTCAAACAAAATATAGCAACAAATAACTTAATAAAAATAGATATAATAAACTATTGTATATAAAGCATAAATTTTTGAACTTATAACATCGCTAAAAAGTGTAAGATTTTAATTTAAAAAAATTTATTTGAATCTAAATTCCTTTATGCATGGCTAAATATTCTGGCATAGACTGTGAGTGTGTAAAGGAAAAAAAATAATTTTTGAATAGGTTTTTTTGGCCTAAAAATAGTTTATTACACTTGTAAGAAATGAAAATAGATTTTTTTAACCACTTATTTACAAATATAGAGAGAGTGAATGCAGTAACACATACGAGTACCATGGAGTTCTCCGACCCAAATTATTGAGTTGGGCCTTTAATGTGTGCACATTTTCACTGATCTCAGTTTTATATGTGCACCCAATAACCTGTAAATTCAATATTTTCTATGGTCCTTTTGTTAAGCTATCGAGATTTCATTCAGTGGCTTTATTGTATTTGTTACTCTTCAAAAGAGTCTATTTGCATTTTAATCAGGTATAATTAATTCAAAAATTAATTAATATAATTAATTTTAATTTTAATTGATTATGTTATAATGCAATCTATTTTGATATTATTTTTTAAAATTGCTTTTAACTATGTAAATTACCATAAAAAATATTTATTTTCAAAATTAAATTATTAATAAATTATATTTAATATTATTAAATTTTTTAACTTTCATTTAACAAGTAAAATATATTATTTAACAATAAAATTGAATCTATAAATAATCTCTTAGAGCTTATTTCAAAACAATAAAATTATGATTGATTTTGATTTTAGTTAGTTGTTTGGGTAATTTTTAATATAATTGATTTTTTTCACCCCAAAAATCAATTATACACCCAATCCGAACAAGTTGTAAGAAACATTACAAGTTCAGTTCCATCTATGTTTATGTACAGCAAGTTCGCTCATGTCAATGGTAACGAATCAAAAGATGAATATGATTTGAACTCTTGCCAGTTATGTGATGTCATATACAAAAAGTTGTGACTTAAGTTATTGCCAATAGAATTAAACCTCTTCTTCCTAATATTATTGCTCCTAATCAGTGTCGTTTTAAATGAGCTCAAATAATATCATCATATTTCATGAAGTTATTCATTCTATGTGTAATATGAACGAGAAGAAAGGTTTTATGGCGATTAAGATTAATTTTGAAAAAGCTTATGACAGAGTTAATTGGGATTTTCTTATCTCATGCCTTGAGGAGATTAATTTGCTAACAAAATTGATTGATGTTATTCGTCATTGTGTGAGATCTTCTAGGATGCAAATCTTGTGGGAAGGAGTAAAATAGAAGAATTTAAACTAGAGGCATTCATCAAGGAGATCCTCTATCTCCTTATCTTTCTGTATTATGTTGAAAAACTTGCTCATCTAATACAAGAGATTGTTAAAGGTATTTGGAAGCCCATTCGCTTAAATAAAGATGGTCCTCTTCTTTTCCATCTTTTCTTTGTTGATAATCTTGTTATTTTTGTGAAAGCGACTGTAGACCAAGTGCAAGTGATTAAATAATGTCTTGACTATTTCTGTGCAATGTCTGGACAGAAGGTAAGTCATTTTAAAACTAGGGTTTTTTTTTCTAAGAATGTGAACCATAATAAAGCACAGCAACTTAGTAACTTACTTGAATTTAACCGTACAGCAAATATGGGTAAATATCTTGGGGTCCCTCTTTATCATAACCATGTGACTAAAAATACTTATCAATTTGTGGTGGATAAAATGAAGCAGCGACTCTCTAGTTAGAATGCTACTTCTATCTCTTTTGTGGTGGATAAAATGAAGCAGCGACTCTCTAGTTAGAATGCTACTTCTATCTCTTTTACAGGATAGATAACTCTAATAAAGTCTATGTTGAGTGCCATTCTTTTATATTGTATGCAAACAACTCATCTTCTTATGAGTACTTGTGAGGAGATTGATAAATTTTCTCATAGTTTTCTATGGGGTTTGACTGGGGAAAGAAAAAAGATTTATCTTGTTGCATGGGATGAAGTATGTAAACTAAAAAGAAATGGTGGCATTGGATTAAGACATACACAACTTCAAAATAAAGCCTTTATGATGAAAGCGAGATAGGGCCTTATATATAGCAAGAAGGCTTTATAGACTAGAGTCATCATGAGTAAGTACAAACGTGGGAGGGAGTTAATACCACAAGTGAATAGGACTCACCCTAGATCTCAGTTCTGAAAAGGTTTGAGAAAAAATTAGGAGAAAGTCCAAGCTGGGTGGAATTCATGACTAACTATGTGAATAAGGTAGCTGTTAAATGGACACCAAAGAAGC